GATTAGTGTCAAGCTCAAGGGCAATTGAGAGTATAGAAACAGATGGAAAATTAAGGGGTAGGTCAATGAAATGTTGTGGCAGACATTTAATATCCCATTAAAGCTATCCATTCTGGAATGGAATAATTACCAGATGTTGGATCCATTCCTTCAGAAAAGGAAGTGGAACAAAAGGCAGAGCATTCAGTGCAAAGGTGGATGGCAACCAAGTTTGAACACAAAGTTGAGATTAAGAGTACAAGAAAAAGAATAGCCACAGAAGTCTCAACCAATACTCCAGATATCAAATCACAACAGGTATTTTGCCATTCTCACGGCATGAAGGATATCAGGAACCTGCCAGAACTGGCTATAAACTAGATATAGTGAGGAGAAACTCAAAAACAAGTAATACCAAGCAAATTGTTGGAGCTACAGACCAAGAAGTGTCCAGGTACTGAGACCTCAAGCTCTGGAGAGATACTTGACCTACTGTTATCTTAATTTCTGAAATACCGTGATTTGAGAGGGGGGCTCTGGAAGATAAATGCAACTAATTCAGAAGGACTAAATGCACAGAAACATGAAACTAAAGGCTGGTGGAAGAGTGACAAGGACACATCTTGGGTATTGTATACAGTGAGGAAGTACATTAGGGTAGTTTAGAGGTTTGAGATTAAACCCTGAAATGGAGGCTTGTTATTGGATGAGAAGAGGCTGGACTTTTATCAAAGAGCAAGGGGACTGAATTAATGAAGTTGGGCTGGGTCTTTTCTAGTTGGATGTCAAAGGATTCTCACCAACAACCCATACCCCCCTGGTGGTGAGGACTCCAAATTACATCTTGTCTTTTGGGAAAGGTGACAAATTTAAGTTTGAGCATCTTTGAAACATTCCCTGAAGAGGTCGAAGCAAGTCTTTCAATGTTTGAGACAGATGTGGAGATATTCTAAGTAAGACGTGGGTACAAAGTTCAGAGTATTCATGGTTCAGTGATATTAGCCTTTAAGGTTTTGGAGTAGATTTGTACTCAAATACCAGCCTCAACATTAGCCTTTGTATCAAGTGGCAGAACAGGTCTGACAGTGACTGCACTGTCATTGTTCAAATGCACACTGAAATATTGAGCTGGGTTGGGTGTAAATTTGGAAAATTCCTGACAGTTCAGAGGACTGTTTGAAGCTTACTGAAGTTGTGTAATAATTGACAGATGATAGATTAGATGGAGGCAAAAATCTAACAGGATTTGCTAATAAGAGATAACAAGGCGGACAGCTGGATGAACACAGCAGGCCAGGCAACATCAGAGGAGCAGGAAGGCTGACGTTTTGGGTCTGGACCTTCCTCAGAAATGGGGGAGGGGAAGGGGATTCTGAAACAAGGGGGTGGTGGGGTGTGTGGAGAAAAGTGGATAAAAGGAGCCAGTAAAAGGGGAGTTAGGATGGGGGTTGGTCAGTCAAGTGAAGACTGACAGGTCAAGGAGGGCTGGGCTGGTTTTGGGATGAGGTTGGGGATATTTTGAAGCTTGTGAAGTCCACATTGATACCATTAGGCTGCAGGATTCCCAAGTGAAATATGAGGTGCTGTTCCTGCAACCTTCGGGTGGCATCGTTGTGGCACTGGAGGAGGCCCAGGATGGACATGTGGTCCAAGAATTGGGAGGGGGAGTTGAAGTGGTTCATGACTGGGAGGTGCAGTCGTTTGTCATGTGTAGGTGTTCCACAGAGTGGTCTCCAAGCCTCCGCTTGGTTTCCCTGATGTAGAGGAGGCCACATCGGGAACAGCGGAAACAGTATACCACATTAGTGGATGTGCAGGTGAACGTCTGTTTAATGTGGAAGCTTTTCTTGGGGCCTGGGATGGGGGTGAGGGGAGGTGTAGTACTTCCTGCTGTTGCAGGGAAAAGTGCCAGGGGTTGTGGGGCTAGTGGGGAGTGTGGAGGGGTGGAGAGAGCGGTCCCTCCAGAAGACAGATAAGGGTGGGGAGGGAAAGTGTCCTTGGTAGTGGGGTCAGATTGCAGGTGGTGGAAATGGTGGAGGATGATGCATTGAATCTGGAGGCTGGTGGGGTGGTATGTGAGGAGGAGGGGGATTCTGTTTTGTTGTTATTGCAGGGAGGGGGCATGAGGGATGAGTTGTGGGAAACGCGAGAGATGCGGTCAAGGGCATTTGCAACCACTGTGGAGGGGAGTTGCGGTCCTCGTTTTTCAAGGACATCTGGTATGTCAGGGAGTGGAATGCCTCATCTCGGAAGCAGATGTGGCAGAGGCGAAGGAATTGGGAATAGGGGGATGGCATTTTGCAGGAAGGTGGGTGAGACGAGGTGTATTCTAGGTAGTGTGGGAGTCGGTAGGCTTGAAATAGATATGTTTCCAGGTGGTTGCCAGAGATTAAATCAGAGGTCCAGGAAGGAGAGAGGTATCGGATATGGTCCAGGTGAACTTAAGGTTGGGTGGAAGGTGTCAGAAAAGTGGATGAACTGTTCGAGCTCCTCGTAGAAGCACGAGGTGGTGCCGATACAGTCATCAATATAACTGAGGAAGGGGTGGGGGATGGGGCCAGTGTAGCTGCAGAAGACACTGTTCCACATATCCTACAAACAGTCAGGCATAGCATGGGCCCATGCAGGTACCCATGGCCACCCGCTTTGTCTGTAGGAAGTGGGAGGAATTGAAGGAGAAGTTATTAAGGGTCAGGACGAGTTCAGCTAAGCTGGTAAGGATGTCAGTGGAGGGGGAAAATGGTCAGGTCTGCAGGACAAGGAGCGGAGGGCCTTTAGGCCATCTGCATGGGGAATGCAAGTATATAGCGACTGGATGTCCACTCCACTCACTTCAAAACTATGCTCCCTTGTAATAGCTACCTCCACCCTAGGAAAAAGTCTCTGGCTGTCCACTATCTATACCTCTGATCATTTTGTACACCTCTATCAAGTCACCTCTCATCCTTTGTTATTCTAAAGAGAAAAGCCCTAGCTCTCTCAACCTTTCCTCCTAAGACCTTCCCTCCATTGCCAGGCAACATCCTAGTAAATCTCCTCTGCACCATTTCCAACGCTTCCACATCTTTCCTGTAATGAGGTGACCAGAACTGGACAATACTCCAGATGTGGCCGAATCAGACTTTTGTACAGCTGGAGCAGAACTTCACAGCTCTTGAACTCAATCCCTCTATTGATGAAAGCTAACCCACCATACACCTTCTTAACAACTCTATCCACCTGGGTGGCAGCTTTCAGGGAACTGTGAACATGAACCCCAAGATCCCTCTGCTCCTCCACACTGTCTAGAATCTAACCTGCTTAGATTCTGACCCAATCCAGAGAGTTAGTACTGGAGCTCACTTCAAGATCAGAAATGTTTCTAAGTAGACACATCTGTACTTCATCCTTTTCTGCAATTAGATGCAGTCTGCAAATACTTACCAAACCCCTCAAACTTCGAGGGTTTGTACTGAAAAAATGTAAAACTTGGGCAGTGACTGCTTTCGCTCAGGCTGCCACTGGACTCCAAACAAGAAAAATTGAAGTCAGTGAAGTTGGAGAGCATCTTGTATGCAACTATGTCATATCACTTGTCCAAATGTTAAGTGAAGTGTACATGTCAATGTAGAATTGTCAAACATCAGGTGCCTGGTTCATATTAACATTCATTCCAAGGATTTATTCTAATCCAAGCCTCCAGATGCAGGCCAGCAGAACTTCCTTAAACAACAAGCAAGTTAGTCCAAATCCAGATCTGGAAGAAAAACCCGAATGAACTGCAGATGCTGTAAATCAGGAACAAAAATAAAGTTTCTGGCAAAGCTCAAAAAAACACAAACATTCAGAGTTAACATCTTGCATCTGGTGACCCTTCCTCAGAACTCTTAAAGGAAGCGTCACCAGATCAAAGTGTTAACTCTGAATTTTTTTTTGTTTTCTTCAGATGCTGCTAGACCTGCTGAGCTTTGCCAGCAACTTTGTTTCAGATCAGGAACAGATGGCTTCCCAATTCAGAGAGAGTGTGAACAGGATGACACTCAGCCCCTTCACACCAATCTGTCAAATGGTAGGATAGGTTAAGTTGAGATCCACAGAGGACATGGGCATTGCTGGCTTGGCCAGCATTTATGGCTAATCCTAAGCTTCTTGAAAATAGTGAGCTGCTTTCAGGAACTGCTGCAGTTCCTGTGTCTACCTCCAACCCATCATGCCCAGAATCTGCTTTGGCAGGCCTGCCAGTGAATTGACCCTTTGAGTCAAAATCTTGATCCCCATCCCCCCACCCCACCACCACGAACTGTTTGGCTAGACCTAGGCTCAGTTTAAGACCATCCTTCAGCAACCACCTTGTCAGGTTTGGAGACACTAATCATCCCATTTGATCTTTTCAAGAGGCTCAACTGTTCAAGGAAACCCATCAAGCTACGGTAAAATACAAAGCTTCTAAACTGTTTCATGTATTGTTATTGAAAAGGTGGTGACCTAGACTACATGGGAGTAGATGTCATGTCTGGTGCTTCTAAGAACTGTTGGTAAACCTCCTATGGTACATTCTTTCCCAACTGGTTGCTGCACCTGCAAACTAACCATGATCTGTTTAATGGAGACATGGAGAGCATTTCACTGCTGTTATCCCCCCAGAGAAAGCGGGACGAATAGAACAGCAAGAGAACTTATTTTGTAGTGTTATACCAAATTCTTGCTCACTGCACATTACACCCCTCTGTAAAGGGGGTTAGATCACAGGATGTGGCATCTGTTAGGCCAGAATTTATGGCCTAACCCAGTGGATCAGAGGGGTCACGATGAGGCAGCAATTGAGAGTCAGCTTATTTAAAAAAATGTTGACATGGTGACCATTTCATTACTTGCTGTGGTGAAATTTGAATCAGAACCCCTGAACATTAGTCTGAGGTTCTGGATTGTTAGTCCAGTGGTATTACTACCCATCAATTCTCTTCACTACTTGTAAGTGTCTAATTGATAAGTTAGACTGCAAACATGGGTACTTTATGAAGGAACCAAAGAGATTTCATGAATTGAATTCCAACATTCACTTGCCAGCTTTAGTGACCCATTCATACATGTTTTCTATTACAATGAGAAGGTCCCTTTCTTCAAATTACATGCCTGCACTGCAAAGTTCTTCCACCACATTTACTGTGGCACCTTCACATGCCTTTAGGCAAAAAGGCCATCTGCAAGTTCTCCTTCATTCACATGGCTCATTACTTTCTCAATAAAAGGCCATTTAAAACACCCACTGGCCTTCCACAGAATAAGGAATTCACTTGAACCACATCTGGGTGCACAGTCATCCTGACCAGAGGGACAGCAAACCTCAGCACTGCAATGCAAGTATACCTAGAAAGAAGCAGAGATTTTAGGAGAGCTTCTTGTAGCTAAGTAGTCCAGGTTGCAGTACAGACAGCCAGCCAATTTTGTGATCTTGGTCTCATTCCATCAGTTTGGTTACTTGTTCAGAGAGGGGCTGCTCAGACACACCATCCAAGAAAACAAAGGTCTTCACTTCAAACCGCTTGTGATGGGTTGGGAACTGCAGGCCAGAAGAGGCATCTACTGGGTGTAGGACAGTCAGGTAGTCTTCACCCTCACAGGGGCACCTGAAACAGGAAGGTTGTCAGTTTCAGTAGGAGAGATATTGATCTACTGCAATGACATCTTGGCCATTTATGGCAGCGGCATACGAGACCAGAGGGGAGCTTCTGAAGAGAATATTTTCCCTTGCTCTAATCCAGTCAGTTCTCTCAGATGAGAAAGATTGGAGATTGATGAGGCCTCAAAACTTCTTCGGAATCAGGATTTAACAAAAAAAAAGGTGTTAATTAAAAACTATCCAACAGTGTTGTGCTAAACCTCCTCATGCCCTGATGTACTCTTCAGGTGAAGAAATATGAACTAAGCAAGAGCTCCACATGACCCCAATTTAAGTGATTAGGCAAATTTGACAAGTCATTTCAGGGTGCAGGCTTCATCAGCTATATGGGGAATGCACAAGTCCTCTTGTGGCAGTGTCCTTACCTCGTAGCCAGAGGCCTGGGTCCAAGTTGCACCTGTTCTGGGGGTGGGGCAGGGTCTAACATGGCTAAACAAGTTGATTGGACCTAGGAGAATCTGAATGGGATCTCAGGTTACAGATGCAGCCAGAGTTTCTCCAGTATCTAGAATAGTTGGCTTTTATTGTTGGATAGACAGCATGTTGAGCTGTCCTTCATGAACATACATGTATTCTAGGAGATCTACATAGCCCATTGTAAGTTTGCAGAATCTGGGCCATTGCATCAGTGCAAAGCCATGTTGCTTTTACAGCAAATTCTGCAAAGTGCAAGCAGGCTGCTAGTGGAAGAGGTTAGTTCGTGACAAACTGGATCAATTGCTTTACTGAATCCGCTTTTATTCTCCCAGGCCATAGAAACGTTTATCCAGTGACACTGGCCTTGACAGGAGCAGCTGGACAATCATGGTCTTTGCAATAAAAGAAAACTATTAGTCTTTCCATTCAGAGTCCTTACCCATCCACCAGGAGACTCCACTGCACCTCATGGTCAGGGGCTGCCCAGCAGTCACGCAATCTCAGGACAATCACTGGGTCAGTGCGATCCTTCACACAAACCTCAACAAACACCGACTCCTGAAGGATTCTCTCAATGGGGTAGTCACTGTCCTTGTACCACGACCTGTAGTTGCCATCTAACAGAAACAAGGAGAACAAGCCAGTCACTCCCTGAAGGAATACATTCCTAGTGCTCTATTACCAGGGCAGCCTACCTTTTGCTATTCGCAGTTTCAGCATCAGAATCCCATCTTCAGAAGCAGCTAGTGGTGGAGGGAGTGTGTAAACTGAGACATTGATTTGTAAGCCAGCCTCATGCTCCCCTTTGTACTTGCACTGGACGTGCAGGCTGTCAAGAGACACAAAGAGGTGGTGGAGTTTCAGTCAGTAACACTTCCCTCCACACAGCAACAAACCCACTGCCCTCTCACCTGAAGGTGCTGTCCCGGGTTATTGAGACTTGTGGCCCAGTCTGAATCATCCTCTTCCCCAAGATGTCTGTTTCATACACAAAGCTTCCAGTCTCCTCCTGCAACGGAGGGCACTGTTTAATAGGGAGTGTTAAAAAGGGACAGAAAACTGGACCCACTTGTTGGGCTGAGTCACAAGAGGTAATTGGGAAGCGGAAGGCTACAAGTTCCTCTGATGAGCTTAGGCCTGCACTCGGCTTCTTGCCCATCTTTCACGTACAGAGATGACAGGTTAAGGGCAGGATGGGTCAGGTTCCAGCTGATTGCTAGAATGAACTGGCCATCTGCTGTATATATTGAAATGAAATACAATGCAAGGGTTCAAAATTAACTAGCTTCTGAATTCATACTGCTATTTGTCTTAGTTACTGAATGACTAAACAATTCTTACCAGATTTTAGAAATACAGCATACAGAGGCTTCCACAGGTCGCCAGTACTGGCTGAAACCAAGATCATTAAGAAATAGACTTAAGGAAATTGACAGTGTAGGAGGGTCATAGAGAATTGAGCCTCTGCTTTTCAATTTCTGAAAGGGAATCCGGACTGAGCTGAAGAGGGCAGCAACATGTTGGAGGGGATTTTAAGCATCAAGACTGATGTCAAGCTGATGAGGCAAGGACCGATTACAAATAGTCAGCATGGCTTTGTGCATGGGAAGTCATGTCTCACTAACTTGGGTGAGGTGTGGAAAGAGGTGGCAAAGATTTGAGGCAGAGCGGGAGACATTGAGGTCTATATAGATAGAGTGAAGTATTTGGCAAGACTCCACAAGGTAGGCTGGTTAGCAAGATTCTATCACATGGGATCCAGGGGAGCTCACCAATTGGATACCAAGTCAGCTTGAAGTTAAGGGACAGAGTGGCATGGCATGTTTAAGAATTCAGGCCTGTGATCAGTGCTGGGTCCACTGCTTTTTGTCATGGTGTCAAATTTGCATGCGAATCTCAGACATGTAGTTAGTAACTTTGCAGAGGACACCAAACTAGGCAGTCTAGTGGAGGGCGAAGAAGGTTCTCTCAATACAAAGTCCCACTGTAATGTGGGAAGGAGTCACAATTGAAGTTTAATTTAGGTAAAAATGAGGTGCTGCATTTTGGCTAGGCAATCCAGGCAGGACTTGCACAGTAGGAGTAAGCTACAGCAGATGCTGGAATCTGTACTCAACAAATGCTGGAGACCACAGCAGGTCAGACGGCATGCTAACCTTGTGGGTCTAGATGATTCTTCAGCACTGTCAAGTGGTAGGCCCCTGGACAGAATTGTCAAACAGATATGGGGGAAAACAGGTGCACAGTTCTTTTGACATTTTGCTCCTCTCCAAAGGAACAAGAGGAGATATTCCATTATCTAATGTCAGATTTCTAGCATCTACATTTGAGTGATTTTTAATCAAACTCAATTGAGTCAGTTATCCACTCATGGAACATGGACATTACAGGCCAGCTAGTATTTATTGCTCGTTCCCAGTTGCCCACAGTGTGCTGGCACACTACCTTCTTGGCTCAAAAGATACAGGTATGAGCAACTAATGGAAATAAAGCAACAGATAAGGTTAGTCATCCAATGTCACCTCCCTCATTACTAGAGTTCACAAGGCACTATTACTGCATAGTAACATTAAAGCTAGTTTGATCTTTCATTCTCATAAGAGGAGTGACCAGGTGACATTAGACAGAGGAAATTGCATCTCTTTAGCACATCCAAAGAGACCAATAATGTTCTTGGTTTGGTTAGGTTAGAGCACACATCCTTTAAATCAAGTGAGTGAACAAGAGAAAGTCTAAAGATTACCATGAAACATTAGTATCATTGACCTGGGAAAATTCAGTAGATTCACCAGGAATCTTGGATTGAAGCAGCAACCCAGAACATTCTTAAACTTAACCAGGAATAAAGAGGCATTATTCATGGCCAAGTTAATTCCTCAAGGGACAGGCTAGAAGAGGACATTGACAGGAGTGTTTATACCCACCATTCTCCATTGTACAGTGGGACAGTAACAGGTCTTAAAACTAGTTCTTCATTGAAGAGTTCATTTACCCTCAAAGTTTCCCACAAGAATGACAGGTGCTTTGGCATTTGCCACATTCTTACATCCAGAATAGGAGTCCCAGATTAAGCTCCCAAATTTGATTTCATTGTCATTACATCACATTATCTAGACAAACCATACCTCAGAAGTATATCAGGGTAAGGGATCAGATTGCAGATGATGTTTCAGCTGCAGAGTAAGATCAACTTTAACGAGGGGCGTGTTCGAAAGTCAAATTAAAGATGTTTCCAGCCTTCCCCACCCCTCTAGAAACGGACCAGGTGCAACAGGCAAACAAAACAAGTTATGCAACGAAAGAGGAAGCTGGTAGAAAACTGAAAAAAATATAGTCTTAGACTAACCATTACACCAGTATACAAGTGTGTTAGTACCAAAACCGCTCCCACCCCTTCTCCTTATGAGGTAGAAAAAGCAACAATAAATCCTTATTTTATTTCTTCATCTACAAGAAGGAGCGTTCAAACCCCTTTTTATATTACACAAGACAGTAATAACGAGTCCCAGTCGGACTTGACACACACACGCTCGCTGTGGGATCCGGGAGGGGGCTGCTTGCCCGGACTCTCTCTCAGGTTGTAGAAACAGGGCTGCCCACTGAGGCTCGGTGACTCAAAGCAGCAGCCCTGCTTGATACAGTCAGTGCTGCTGATAGCGGGCGGGCCACACGGCAGCCTCCAGGCCGGCTCCGGGTCACACACAGCAGAGAACAGGAAGGGCAGAGCAGCCCAAAGGCACAGCCAGCAAACCAACCAAAGTCCCATCGCGCTCCCTGAATCTATGCAGGACCCTGAGCACCAGCCCGCTTTATAGCCAGCAATTGGTGAGGAACCAATCGCGGTGTAGCCGCTTCCTGCCCCACGGGGTTGTACTGCAGTTCCCAGTAAATCGGTTCTTTCTGTCGAGTTTATTGCAGCCTCTGAACACGCGGCTTATTGAACAATTAATTCCTTCCGTGTTTCATTCATTCGGGCAAACCCTAACTGCTCTTTAAACTTTACATTTCAGATCATGGAAAATTTAATTCAGGTTTGTAGCACCAGGTCTATCGGTTCGGACTTCACCTGTGGGCA